GTGCCATGTGACAATAGTGAAATGATCAGGATAATAAACTATTATGGGCGATTTGCTATTAATAATAATTATATTAGGCGACTTTTAAGAAATATGCACCAGCCCAGGTACACGACGTTTGGAGCCGAATCGTATTTGTCGTGGGAGTGTCATCGGCGTGCTCGGGAGGTCCCCACCCCAATGACGTCCCCGGGCCCGGGGGCCCGGACGACACCGGCACTACCAGATTTGGACTCAGCGTGCGAGGAAACCCCCGACCGAACACGATATTTCAGTCGTCCTGGTCGTTCCGAGGTTGACGGTCGGTCGGTCGGCCAAACCGTGTCTTATTTTGACAGCCCCAGATAGCCGACATTGTCAGGTGTGGGGAAACTCATTTACAGCATTTAATTTCTATATTGAGAAATATAGCCCTGTGCTATACATCGGGGTGGGTAAGGGGGGGGGAGGCATTGCCTTCTGGTAGCCTGGTAGTCTTGGGGGCGGGACTGTCGGACTGTCTAAGAAAGCGAGCCAAGAGAATAAGAGCAGATTTCAGGGCTACTGAATCTGGAGGGAAGGGTTGCTAGAAGGAGAACAGAACCCTGCCGGGTGGCACGAAATAAATTTTATTGGTAGTAGTTAGTAAGTGGAGCAGCCCGCACCCGCCGATCAACTGCCGCTGTATGAAGGAACACTCGGGCTCGCGCGGACTCCACCGCGCGCGCACTGCAGGTCGTTCCCTCGCTGCACCCGGCGGCCTTGAAGAGTCTCCCCCTGGCGACTTGGTGCGAGCGAGACGCATGCCTGGCGCGCCTCTCGACCGCGCACTCGCCGGCCACTCGTGCTGCAGGTGAGGATGTGCGTGCACCCACCCCATCCCGTCCTGCACGCGGAAACGGGTTTGAGCAGCCGGGCTCGCGAGGCGGAGCGGGTCACTGGACGTTTGAGTGTCCGTCTCAGGCTGCAGAATAAAAATTGCCTAAACTGTCATGCCCTACCGGCGCGGCGACTGCCTCTCCGACTGGTGGTAGGGAGGGAGGCCTCTGATGCACTCTCCGGTATAAAGCTTCAGGAGTGTCCGAGCGCCGGCGCAGTTCTTTGTTCATAAAGTGAGTCGCTGGGCTGAGATGCGCGTCGTGCTCCTCATCTGTGTGGCCGCGGCGTCCGCGGTCGCGGCCCCAAAAACGTTGCGTGAGTATGAGTTTCAACGCTCAAGCCGACCCCCCTTTACGAAAAGCCGGATCAAGCAGACATGTACGCTTTAATCCTTCCCCGCGTTGTTCCAGCGGCGTCGTGGAAGAGGTGCAAGGAGGGTGAGCCGCTGTTCGAACAATGCCTCAGTGAGGCCATCGAGGTCGCCCTCGCGGACCTGGGCGCGAACGGTGAGTCTTCAGGCCTAGGGCGTCTGGTGGGTAGGCATCCCGGCGGACCCGCTCAGTAACGCAAGGTTGCCTACTTCGCCCCCCCCCCCCTTTTCTATGAAGTACCATCTATGCTCTCTACCGGAGAAGGACTGTCCCCCATTACTTTACACATTGGTTCGGTGAACCCAGGTGCCCGGGAACTCGGTGTGTTCCCCCTGGATCCTCTGTTCATATCCAAGGTGGTCATCGAGCAGGGTAGTGGACCAGTCTCAATCGACCTGCAATTCACCGACCTCAACATCTACGGTCTGAGAAACGCTCGGGTGGCTTCTGAAAGTGTCAAGTACGTCGCCCAAGGGTGTCATATACCTACGTGGTCAGAAATGTCTTATGGAGGACTTCAGCAGAGTAAAGAAGGAGAGCAGGAAGATCAGCCAGGAAACAAAAACTCATCTGAGCTGTGATTGATCAAAGGCAACCATAAAGTTTTTTGTTTTTCTTTGTTTTTTCTTTGCCCCCTGACGGATCTTGTTTATACTGGAGTCCTCCATCACAGTACTTCTCAATTTAGCCCTTATGTTGTTTTAGCATTGTAGGCTTTGAGCCATTTATATTTTTCAACTTTCAGGGCAAGTTTTAAAACGCCTGTATATCTTTCTGGAAAGGCTGATATAGCTGAGGGACTCACCCTCAAGGGACAGTACAAGATCAATGGCAAAGTATTGGTCCTTCCTATTCAGGGAGAGGGTGAATGTGAACTTAATTTAGGTAAGTTAGACCTTTGTTATGTTTGTGAATCTATTTTCACTTTGAAAACCTCTTATCCATGTCTCTGTATTTATTTTTAGAAAATGTCACTGCACTGGTTGACCTTGTGTGTAAAGATGAGACTAAAGACGGTCTTAGGTATGCTTCTGTTGATAACTTTAAATTTCTTTTGGACACAACTCTTCTCAAAATAAGAATGGACAATCTATTTAATGGAAATAAAGAGCTCAGTAAGTACCATTGTACTCTATGATCTGTTGATTGATTTAATACAAATAAAATAATTAATATTATTTTTATTTTTGCAGGTGCTAATATGAACACTTTCCTCAATGAAAACTGGAGGGAAATTTTCCTGGAACTGAGACCTGCCATCCAAGATGCCTTTGGGATAGCATTTAGGGAAATAACCAATAGGATATTTTCTAAAGTACCCATTGATAAATTACTCCTTTCGTAACTTTCACAACGCACCGCTTCCTTGAAAACAAAAAATTAACAATAATAAGGATTTGTGTGTCTTAGGTGAGAGGTCTCTCAACCTATTTATGTGTAACTATTGATTTTGTTACATTTTGCACAATAAATAGACTTTCAAAAGTGTTCTACATATCATTTTATTGAGGTTGTCAATTGTACAAACATTCAGACAGGTCAAAAGATATCTATAGGAAGGAACACATTCTTGCGATACCTGTACAAAATAACATACTACACTATAAAACAACAAAAACAATAAAATTAACAAAAAGCCTGAAATAATATTTTGTCTTAAATAAAAATATATTTATGTTCATATATGTGTATTTATATGTGTGCATTATATTGCACACCTTACCATTTAGAGAAGGTTAATGACTTACACCTCCCAATCCCACTTCAAGTCATTCGTCACAGCATTCACTTTCCACACATACAAAATTACAAATCTGCTGTTCACGAAATACTGCCAATTGAGCCATGAATACAAGAATTCTAAATACTACAAAACAAAATCATTCATGTGGCAAAGGTCACATTTGGCCCGACAATAAGAAAACCAAGGAACTCATGACTTTCCCATACTTAAATCAACTTAGTATGCACTTAAATCACAATAAAAATTTAAAATAAATTAAAGTAAGAGGAAACTTATAACAAAACTCTTCGGCATTAAGAGTTGACAAAATGATAATAAAATTAAAAGGCATAACAAGTACAGTATTCAGTTCAATTGTTTCGAATCTGCTGCATTCACTGGGAGAGTGGAAAATCACATTAGGCTCTGGTGGAAGCAGTTTGTACAATTGTTACTTAAAACAGTTACATTCACCGTCCTGCAATTCATCATCACAATTTTCAACCTCAACAATTTTAATCATCACCTGAAGCACAAATAATTTAGAATAGGAAAGTATGAAAATATTAATGGTAAAATGACTAGGAAGCCAGCTTAAAATTGAAAGCTCCCTAATAACACAAAACATTCAGATGACAACAATTTTAGTACAAACTTGCTTCCTCACAATATAGCTTTCACTACAAAAGCTTTTTAGCCCTCAACCACCGAACCTCATATGAAAGCAACAATACTCATCAGTCTCAGAGCAATTGTTCTAGCAGAGAGCATCACAGCAGGGGCACCAAGGCCGAACAGAACAGCAAATAAGACATGAACCTACTGATAACACCTTCACAAGAACTTTCTTTGGAGTCAATGTTTCTAAATTACACATCAATTGTTGAGATTCCCCTGCGTTCAGTAAAATGAGTAAATATAAGCCTAGAGCTCTCTGTACAATATGTTAACAAAGACTAGCATACACATTATTGGTTCGACTGAGCAGGCCAGCTACATGTAATTTGACACGTGACCTGTAGCTCCCTCCAGTCCGCATAGTTTTAATCACATTATTATGTACAACTATAATGAATCCTAAAATAGACATTCCAACAGCCCTGGCCATTGTCTATTGTAGGATTTATCTATCACTGGTTAACTCAAGAAATTTCAATGATGGTTCATCACTTAGAATGAATATGTATATATGCTCACTGGATAGAAAGATACACGTACATGAATTTCCTACTTCATCGCAAAGCACGATAGAAGATAAATTTCTAGAGAAGAGAAAATATTCCAGAAAACCTATATGCAAAAATGGGTTGTAGCAAAATACGAGTTCTAAATGATAAAACACTTAAAGACGTCTATTTGTTGAGAAATCAAAACCATTATGGTTTGAAACACAAACTATAGCATGATACATGCTGTTCCAGAGGAAATAGTAAAAACAAAATACTTGACTAATGGCACACACAATGCACAAGAGGAGATAGTTACTCAATCATCAAGATGAATTAAACTTTCTAATAACTCACTTGCACTGGATGATAGTACAAAAACTCATTCACAGCCAGTTGTGGAAGCTGTTCTAGGCTCAATAACAGTTCCTGTGATTTCATTGAATTCATCTAATTGATTAAAACATCTGGGATCACTAGTCTTTCCCAATTGTGAGAAATTAAGCATCAGTTACCTTGCTACTTTCGGAATAAAAACTCTACTATTAAAAACTTTGACGCACAAGGGAAAAAATGGGAGAGTTGTAGCCTATTTTATGCAATTTATGTACATGAATAGGCACATCATGAAATTAATTTTGAGATGACTCAAACACACACTTGCATAATAGATCACACATATTTACAGATGACTAATGAAACAAGAGTGATGAGATGCAGTAAGTGCATATTTTAGCCTCAGGAAAAAGACAGAAACAGAAAGAATCATAAATATACAAGAATTAAAAGGGTATAATTTAAATTCATTCACTAAAACACCTTTTAAAAAATAGATAATAAATAATGAAAAAAAAGAGTTGACAGATGGAAGAGAAGAAGGAAGGCGCTTGTCATATCTGACATGAAGAACTTACATAATTTAGAACGGCCTAGACTGGAGGGAGCAGTAACACAAAGACATGCCATTGTCCATCACAATAGAAATATGGCAGACTTAGACTCTTCACATCAATCTGTAAGCCCAGATTCTAGCTCACAGTCAATTATCCTATCTTTGTACAGCATTCACAACATCTTTCACAGTATTGTGTACTTCAGTGCAAAGTCTGGAGTTTTCTGAGGAGTTTCGAGCTCCTGCTGATCGCAATTGCCTGGCTTGCGCCTCCAGTCGCGTCAGCAGCTCTCGCAAATGGAAACGCGCATGTGGTGGGCCCACAGAATCAGCGTAACCCATACACGAGGTGTGCATAAGCCCCACCTTATCTGACAGTTGAAGCCAGCTTGACGTACTGACTGAGGGAGCTGATTTGAGAGAAGTTAAACTTGTTTCTAAGGCTTGAGAGATCTCTAGAATACTGTCTCTTTCACTTTTAACAGTCCCATTACTAGAGGGACCAGAGTCATTTTGTGGCATCACAGGAGTAGCATAAATGGCAAGGAGAGGGGGTTTAGTACTTGGAGGTGGCACTGTTGGTTTGGCAGGACGAACAACAGGTTTCGTAGGAACGACGGGTTTGTCTTCGGCTTGAGGTGGCCACACTCGCCTCTCCCCCCGATTCTTCGACTGCTCTTCGGGAGAGCCCTGCTCTTCGCCTCCACTGCCCAGTTGAGGACTGCGAGCAGGTACTTCAGGCTTGTTCCGGTTGGCCATTTTGGGGCTGATTTGGTCAGAGTTGCCCTCCTTCCCAGCCTCATTCTCTTTGGTCTCCCAAAGTTTTTTCAGACTGCTAATACTTCCGGTGCTCCGGCGTTTATCATCGCCGTCTTCCCCACCCTGCTCATTCTCGGCATTCATGTCCTCGTCCAGGTCAGCCTTGGAGCCATCCACCTTCCGGAGGCGTGATTTGAAATCAATTATCGGGCCAGGGTTCTCCTGTACCTCTTCCACCTTCTTCTTGGTCGCCACCGTCTCGGGGGTCTTCTTGAGCTGCGCCTTGAAGCCCGTCGGCGTCCCGTCCAGCTTGCCGTCGACATTGTTGGTGCCGGCGCCCACCTTCCTCAGGTTGGCCTTGAAGTCGACGGGCGACACCTGGCCCTGGCCCTTGTTCGGCCGCACCTCGGGCGGACTGCAGTTGGCCTGCCGCTCCTCCCGCGCTACCTCGGCAGCCAGCTCGGCGACGAGGCGCGCGGCCGGGTCCTGCAGCGCACCCGAGTGGTGCTCGCTGACGGGGGAGTCCCGGACGCGTCCACTGGCGCGCTCCTTGATCTCGGCCACCAGCTTCAGCTCCAGCATCTCCTTCATGCCGGGGATGGCGCTCTTGAAGGGCCTCTTCCTCTCCGAGTCCGACTCGGGGTCGTCGCTCGGGGTGCTGGGGTCCAGAGGGGAGGCGTCGCCGTGGGTGGAGGGCGACAGCGGGGGAAGTGGCGAGGGCGGGCTGGGTGGCCTGTCCCGGGGCCGGGGGTTGCCACTGGCGCCGTTCTTGGCGGAGCGCGCGCTGCTGCACGAGTCGGTCGACGGTTCCCGGTGACGGAGACTCACACCGAAGCGAAAGCTCGCCTCCTCCACCGAGGGCTCGGGGTTGCTCACGTCGCCGGCCTTGATATCCAGGTCGCTGCCGTCGCAGAGTGGCTCGGCGGGGCCCGGGTGGAAGGTGGAGAGCATGGGCTGGACCGGCTGGTCCACGCTCATGCTGGCGCCTATCCGCCGTCCGCCCCGCGGCGAGGCCGCCGATGGGGGCTTGGCGGCGGGGACCGCGTTGGGCAGCGACCCGATGCGCTTGCGGCACTCGGGGCTGGACGAGTTGTAGGCGTCGTCGGGGGGCGGCAGGTCCTGCGGGGGCGGCGGGAACTCCAGGTCAGCCAGGGTGGGCTGCACGGAGCGCGAGGGGCTGGGGCTGCCCTGGGGGTGGGCCACGTGGCTGCCGGCCGCCGCCGTCGAGTTGCTGCGGAAGGTGCGCAGGCTCGAGCCCACGTTGTCGTTGCGGGCGCGGTTGTTTCGCTGGGACTTGCCCGTCGGCGATCCGGGCTGGAACCCACCAGACGAATTGCTTCGAATCATCTGCGGCTGAGTGCGGATGCCGGTTCGAGGCGAGCCAGAACCAGCCGTCCGCCGAGAGGCGGGCAGATCAGTGACAGAACTAACCGTGATGTCCTGCGGCTGTTCTGACGGGTCGGCGCCCTCCTGGCCACCCTCCCCCTCCACGCTCAGCCCGCTCACCCGCAGCGACTCGAGGTAGGCGCCGATGCGCGCGCCCTTGGGAAGGGTGCCGTACCGGTTGATGGCCCTCTTGACGTTCTGCACCTCCAGGGCGGCGACCTGCACCTGCGGAAAATACAAATCCGTCCATGTTACGTCCGTCAACACCCGCAGGGTCACGACACTGAACAGAAACTGCCCCGAACTGCCCCCAACGCACCTTCTGCTGCTGGGCCCCGCCGGCCCCGGGCTGCGGCGCCTCCTTGGGCGGGTAGGTCCGCGACTTCTTGCCGCGCTGCTCCTGCGCCCGGTTGCCCATGACGGGCTGCTGCGCGGGCTGCCGCTTGAAGGACGACAGCGTGGAGCCGCCCAGCACGGGCGTGGAGGCGTTGGAGCCCGACGGGCCCGAGCCCGGCGGCGGCGGGAAGAAGGCGCCCGTGGCGGCCGAGCCGTCCGTGTACGAGTGCGCGCCAGAGTCGTCCGTGTCGGGGGTCTGGTCCTGGAGCTCGCTCTCGCTGTCGCCCTTCTGGCTCGCCGTGAGGCTCTGCAGGTCCCGAGTGATGCCTGCGCGAACGAAGGGAACACAGTTAGACGGCGTGTCATCGCGACTTTCGACATACTGGAGAAGAATGAAATGGAGTCTCGCCCAGTTTCTTTTTAGGAAAAAACGTGTTTAAGTAACACTTTAAGTAACACAAGTGCGCAGAAATTCCCCGTGAACTGTCGCACACACAGTTTGGAATACTAAGATTCGATTAGTTTTAAGGGGTGCACATACAAAATGTGTACACTTTCATATACCTAACAGCTAATAATGTTATTGGTGTCAAGACAACAAGAAAAAGATTAAGAAAAATATGTTAGTTCAACAAAATCAAATTTGTCACTCAACAGTCCATTAAAATTGTTATAAATTCTTTTCTACACAAAATTAGTAAGTTATCATCATATGCGCTCAAAATTGGGTACATAATCTACTAGTTATGAAATTAGGTTGCATGCTTTTGATAATCAAATTTCTCAATTTAGAATATGCAGGTGTTTAAATTAATGTCTCAATTTAAATGTTACTAGTATTATCTACCAAAAATAATTAGGTTGTGCCTTGTGTTCCATTGCTAATCATACATTTTAAGGTAGTTTTCTGAAATTGTTTTCTAAATAGTTGTCATAGGTAGGCCTACGTAAAATTTGACATATGAAAATTCTAAAGAAGTTTTAAGAACAGACTACAAAGTGATTGATGAAAACCTATGCTATGGCAGTATAAAAAAATAATAATTCAAGATTTTTGATCAGATTTACAATGACGAAACCATGCCGTGAATTTTAAGACGATTTGTGCTCCAGGCGCAACATCAGGCAGCTTGTAGTTTTCAACAGGCTAAGCAGCACACGGCAATCTTAGAATAAAAATAAATGATACCTTGAAAAATGTCATCTATACCATTTAGTTCAGCAGCATCATCAGGGTGGTCCTGGTCAGCATATGTGCTATCACGGAATGAACTGCAGGATGATAGTAAACTGAAATATCAAAGTAACATTTTTTAATTAAGATTACATAATTCAATTTATACATGACAGTAATTCATACAAATGACGATATCTTAAAATATCCCCAATCAAAAATATACCTTGTTCGTTTAGGGGGAGCAGGGGGCTGCTTCCCTCTCTTATTTGTTGGTCGTCTCATTTGAACCATGCTGTTTTTGCCCCCACCAAAAGTACTAAGTTTTCCCATTGATGCATCTGGAAACAGATCAAATACTGTTAAAACCATGGCCAACAATAGTACTGATGTGTGTTGTACAGATTGATTTGCATGTTCGAACCTGAAGCAGCTGCTTGGTCAGCCAACACTACAAGACCATGGATGTTGCCAGTAGAACCAGCATGAGGTTTTTTGTACGACATCAGAGGAGTAGTACAACTACCAGTTGCTCCTTGGAGTTCTTTTTCTACCTCTGAAAGAATAAAAATCAATTTGGATTTGCAGGCAACTATTATTTATTGCATAGAAAAAAATGCATAAAATCAGTGATGATACTGTACCTTCAATAATGCTTGATTCTGGAGGAAACATATTTTCAAGAGCATGGTGGATTTCTTGAAAGGTTGGTCTTTCACCAGGAACCCATTGCCAGCATTCCCTCATAAGTTCATAAATTTTAGGAGGACACCCAGGAGGACATTCCATTCTACAATTTCAATGGAAGAGAGAAAGGCATTTTAATAGTTGTTAGAAAAAATATAAAAGAGAATACAATGAAAATAAAACTGAAATTTGAAGTAGTTACCTATATCCCTTTTCAAGCATGTGATAAACATCAGTAAGGTCCACCCCAGGATAAGGAGACATTCCATAAGTGGCTATTTCCCATAATAAAATACCAAAAGCCCACACATCAGACTGTAAAGAAAAATGGAATAATAGGTTATTACATACCGTAAGTGATTGGTTAATATGCTCAAAACATGAATTTTCAAAATACAAACCTTGGTTGAAAATTTGTTATACGCCAACCCTTCAGGTGCTGTCCACTTGATGGGGAACTTGGCACCAGCATGTGCTGTATAGGTGTCATCTCGCATCAATCTGGCCAGGCCAAAATCTGCTACTTTAACTAGATGATTTTCTCCAACGAGACAGTTTCTTGCCGCAAGATCGCTGAATTAGGGAGGACAAATTGGCTTAGTTCTTACATCAATTCATAATAAATACAATCACTTCTTCAAGAAAAATCTTAATTTAGAAACCTACCGATGAATGAAGGATCTACTCTCTAAATAACTCATTCCACTTGCAATTTGTGTAGCCATGTACATGAGAACAACAGCATTGATTTGGTCTTTGTTACCATTTCGCAAGTAGTCCAATAAATTACCTTTACTCATAAATTCTGTTATAATATAGAAAGGAGGTTCTCTTGTGCAGACACCTGTAACATTACATCATGTAGTATGAGGGCCTCTGTGAGACTGTGACACTAAAAACCAATCGAGTACAAATTTGTACTAACCTAATAACTGCACAAGATTAGGATGTTTCATTTCTTTCATTATAGAAGCTTCCTCTAAGAAGTCTTTTAGAGCCATAGTATCTTCTTTTAATGTCTTTACAGCTACTGTCATATTGTGACGCTTCCAAACAGCTTCGTAAACATCACCATACTGACCACCACCAAGCTTGTGCCGCATCACAATGTCTGTTCGATTGATTTCCCATTCATCAGGTTCTGTATCAAAGGAATAAACAAATAAATATTAATTATTAGAGTACATTTAACAGAAATACTCAATGAATTTGAAAAACAAACACTCCTTAAGGCAAGAATTATTTGTAAGCAACTTTGTTAATGACATTAAACTTAACATAAGACAAAGCCACAAATATTGTTAGAAAATGTAAATACATAATCAGCAAACAGCAGCACAGAGGAATCAGATATGTAATTATAAAAGTGTAATAGAAAAGTGATTATTGTGGCTGGATATGTTAAGCTATCTTAAAGTAAATGCTTCAAAGCAGAGTTTACAGCAAGCTGTTTGCTTTCAAGAGAGCTTCTTGATTAAATGGAACAACACATGGAGTGGAACATGTGTTGAAATATGACTAACTTATGTACTAAGGCAGGGATGAGTGTGTGTTGTGAGTACAAGATGAGTAGAACTTGAATGATTTTTTTAACAGGTGGAAGCTAGCGATAGCAAAGTGTTATTATATAAAATAAAATCAGACAGTTGCAGTATGGTATCAGTTGTTTAGAGGCGAACTGCCAAACTTCGTGGAATAGTAAAAAGTGCCTATACATGATGTACGGTCAACAAAATGAAATGGATAGGCATGCAGCCAATATTATAGGCGAACAGAAAATAAACTTAATTATTTCAAGGCAGTGGTAGTTTAGTTTTTTTTTGCAAAGTAAGAAGTAAGAGGTTTTCCTCCACAGAAACCCCCACTGTTGGACAAACAAAATATGATTGACCCCAAAAAGGGAAGCACTTGTCTCCAGGATGCGGGTAAATACACCACATGAAATCAACAAAATGAGCTGGCAAATGCAGGCAAGTTGTGAGTATCCACAAAGACGGCAAACGAAAAACCAAATCTGTTCACTCGCTTCTTTGGACTAACTTGTCGACGCAAATGCCAGGAGGAACGCCGTGATGGCTGAAAACGAGGAGGGTGTTGTGTTGTGGTGTTGTTGGGGGCAGTGACTCGATTTCCCACCTGGGCTGAGGGCGAACACGGTCGGCTTGTTGTGCTTGGGGGCGGGGTACAGCAACTGGGTGATGAGCCCATCGGAGTGCATGGAGTGGTGGTGGACCAGCTCCGCCAGGGTGTTGAACTTGCTCTCCGTCGTGACGTAGACCTAAACAGGACAATCAAAACAGTGAGTAGAGATTTTAATTTTCCAAAAAAGTATATGAAAGAATTTTTGGGGAAAATATCTATTTTTTTCCTATTTTTTTCTCGGAAAGTTTCCAATTTTTCCGGAAAAAAATGGTCTAGGGGCTGCCACTCCTACGAGTGGGTATGGTGCCGCGCGCTGCTCACCTTGCCCTCGGTGTCCTCGTTGATGCGGTAGTGGTAGACGCGGCCCTCGTAGCGGAGCGAGATGCTCCGCTGGCCGGGCGAGCTCTCCGACTCCCGCACCAGGAAGCTGCCGTTGATGCCCGAGCTGAGCAGGTACTCGGCCGCGTTGCGCGAGATGGGACCATGGTACCACGAGTGCTTCTCGAGCGAGTTGACGGGCGTCACGTAGTTGGACGGCACCCAGCCGACCTGGCCGGCCGAGTGCGCCTCGCACCAGTCGCCGTTCTTGTTGTAGCTCAGGATGCGCACCTGCTCGCCCTTCTTGAGGCTCAGCTGGTTCTCGCCGCCCGCCTGGAAGTCGTACAGCGCCACGAACAGCTGGGGGTCCGAGTCCTCCTCCTGGGTCAGCAGGTTCTCCTTGGACGTCCAACGGGCGAGGCAGTCGGCGGCCGACGGCGCCGACCCGGACGGCGACCCGGCGGCCCCGGCCGCCCCCGCGCCAGGAGGGTCGCCCGTGGGCAGCGCGGGGATGTGGGGCAGCGGCCGGCTCTGCAGCAGGGCTTCTGCAACACGAACAAGGGGGACAGGCAGGTTAGCGTTAGCGCGCTCAAAGACTCGCTCCGGGAGACGCTAACGCTAGGGGACTTCAAGGGAGGGCGCGCGCTTGCATGTCGGCAGTCATTATATACAAAGCACTGCTGCATGCCGGCATGCTTGGAGTGCTGCAGCAGTGCGCCAGACAGCACGCCCGCTGCGGGGGCGGGGCGGGGCGGCGCGGGGCGGGTGAGTGCCGGCAGTGTCGGCCCGCTTGGTGGGGCATCGATCGCCGGCCGGCGCGCGGCGGCAGCAGCGGCCCACCCTCGGGGCGCCTGCCCACCACCCTCCTCACCCACCCTCCAGCTCGCGGAGCTCGCGCGCCGCCCCGCGCCGCTACTTTCCTCCGCGCCTACTGCACTTGCACCAGAGAGAAAATATACTTGCAGACCGAATATGGGGCTTTGAGGTGTGACGTTTGGAACCAAGGCGTTGTTGTGGCGAAATGCAGCCAGCTATAACTTTGGACTCATTACAGTAGTACACCCGAGACACACACCATTCCGGCGCCGGTGCAGCTGCTGGTGAAGCTGTTGGTGCAGCTGCAGGTGCTGCAGCTGGGGGTGCACGATGACGGGGCGGATGCTGGCACCGCCGCCTCCTCCGCCGCCGCCTGGCGGCTCCGGCTTGCTGCTCTTCTTGACGCGGATGCGGAGCCCCGCGCACATGAGCTCCAGGTGCGTGAGCATCTCGTCAGCGCTGCATGCCTCGGCGCGCTGTGTCAGGGGGAGGGAGGGGGAGGTGAGCACGACTGGCGAGGGCCGGCAGCGAGGGGATGCGGGGGTGCGCCGCCGGGCGTGCGCAACGCGCCGACGTGGGGGTCGCAGGGGCGGAGGAGCCTGCTGCCCGCCGGCTGGTGACCTCGGGTGGTGGCGGTACAGTACACTTTGTTTCACACGTTCGCAGTGAGCGCAGTCATGCACAAGAGGTTTTGATCGTGGCGGAATAATCGTGGTGACAAGGGGTGATTATAATGGTTTGCAAGAGACTCGCACAAAATTCGAACTAGACAAAAGTTTTCCGGAAAGGACGGAACAGCCCACTACAGTGTATACTTTGTACAGTAGTCAGTAGTGGTGGTTAGTTTCCAACTAACAAGGTCCCTAAAAGGATGCTGCACAGTCGTGCTACACCACACAAGTCCCGAGTCGGGCTCGTTTTTAGAGCAGAACTTGGCCCGCCAGACTCTCACACAAATATGTCTCTCCATGACCATCTCTCCCGTTCTCTCTCTCTCACACACACATACACGCCATGCTGGACCAGCGAGCGACGCGACGATGTCGGAGATGGCGGGCGCGATGGAGAGCAGGGCAGAGCACGGGGACCGGTTTTCCGGTCATATATATCTCTCTCCTCTAAGTTGTATAATAACCCCATGAGTTAGTCCGCCCGGATAACATCTTTAAGGACGGAGTGAGAGAGAGAGGGAAACACCCAAGCCCCCTTCTAACGACCAGCACCAGCACATTAAAAAGGTAGCCAGCCCTGCCGCTATGAGCTGCCCAGCGCACACATCCCCCCCCCCACCCGTCCCATCCGCGGTGATGTCATGCCGACCCGCTAAAACCAATTAGCCGCCAACAAATCTCAGGCCTAATTGATCCCCTAAAAGACAGCGGCGGCGGCGGCGCGACTTTCAAAAGAGAAAGAAGAAAAAACCATTAAAAAATAATAATCCCGAAGCGATGTATGCTACAGTTTGTTCGCGCACGCAAAGTTCCCAGCGAAGACTATAGTCAGCTACTCCAGCAGCACGCAGCAACGCGGCGTGTGGATATGGCGTTTCGTTTTTCAGTCGGCAGCTGCAGAAGCGAGCTGTGGCCTACACTGGCCTATGGCCCGTCGTCGGCATCCACTGAGCCGGCACGTCAGACGAACCGTTTCCCCCCATGATGCCCCGCGGCAGCTGCATGCAGCTGAAGTGCACTCGCAGCTGCCGATGCAATGCAGCTAACGGGCGGGACGCGGTTCTACATGTCCGGGTGCAGGAAGCTGCGCGCAGAGAGATGAGAAAACGGTGGTTGAAGCGACGTTTAAGCCAACCAATTTTTCCTTGATGGTTTTACTATGGTGAAACGCATAGGATAGGACTTCGTCGGACTTCACACTTTCTATGGGGTCCTAATTTCGTATATGGTTATAATAAATATTAACTGGTAATAACGTCTTTAGTTTTAATTGGTTAGTAAATAATATCTACGGATCCAGTATCTCAGTTTGAGCTTTCCATTCATTTGGTTTTGATGTGTAGGCTTATTCTGCCTGGCTCCAGCTCTCGACTACAGGGTAGGACAATACTCTTTCGCTTTGGGGCCCCAGAGCAGACGCCCGTCGCCCGTACACAAGGGTTGTGCACCGGGCGCAACTCCGGGTCCAAAGTTGGACAGCGCAGCGAAAAGTTTGACACAGAGCGAGACATAAATCCTCTGTTAGTTTTGCTTTCGTCGTCAAACTTTGTGATCCCACTCCCCTCCTCCCCTCCCCTTGTTCCTCTGTACCCATCTATATACCACTCTTTTCGTCCCCGATGCAGAAATAAGGATGACAAGGTCGGGCAGAAACAACTTTCTCCCCAACTGCCGACGACATGTCACTTGTCTTTCGCTCAAACGTCAAACACGCAAGACGATACACACACACGCTCACACACGCACGCGCACACACACAGGGCAGAGCCATCGGACGCCGACTTCTTCTCCACCGGAGTCTGTCGCGTGGCCTGCCCACCAGGAAAGCCAGTGGAGTCAAGAGAGTCGGCGAAACGTCTGTCTCTGCTCCTTACACACTGCAAATCGCTTGTGTTAACTCTCACTTTAAAACAAATACAAAAACGATTCCAGATTTAAGTAAAGTGCGCGAGCTATAAAAAGTCGACGTGCGTTAGAGATCGTCTTTAAAAAGCACGTACGTCATGCGCCGCTACGAAATTCCTAAGTTCATCCAGCCTGCGCAAGCTCTCATGGTGCCTGATAGGTAGGCAACATTCTGCCTGCAGTGCATGCGTGTACTGCGGGGTGGCCTACCCCGAGTATCGCAGGCGTCGAGCTCCCCGTAACTTGCTGCATAAATCACAGAAGAAGAAAAAACAAGGAAGAAAGTGGACGTATTTTTGACGATCCTTCTTTGCGCCTCCAAAAGTCTCCAATGACCTTTTCTTAACGTGTCACTTTGACTTGCGTTGTTGAATGCATCACAATTTTGCCATTGTGCCACGACGGCAACCCCTCCATGAAACGGACACGGCAGCAGCGCATCTCCCCATCTTCCGGCGCGGCGGGGGCACCAAACTCGCACGCACCGCGTGGTACCTCTCGAGGTACCTCTCGAGGTACCTCTGGTGTCGCGGAACAGGTTCCCTTTGATCCGATAGCCGGAGCGGGGCGCGAGTATCATCATGAACAGTCATGAACAACCCGAGCGGCGGCGGCGGCGCAGCGCTCCGCAACCAAACACCTGTCGCACCAGAGGTTGCTCATCGCGGAGGAGATAAGTCCAGACACACGCGCCCAATCACCGCCATCGCCATCATCCACGCGGTACGGGAGGAAACGACAAGAAAACCACAAGACTGACAAATCTCGCAAAGTTATAAAATAAAAGGTTGCAAATTCGTTTTTGGCATCACATGATGAAAAAGTCTTCGTAAAAGAGAAACAAAACCAGCAAATACCAAAATGCAAGTTTCACCAATTCGAAGGGTGTCACCATCCCTTTCGCACGTAAAAACCAAAACAACGCAAAACATGGAAGCATTTGAGAGGAAAATATAAATAGTTTCAATTCGAAGACATTGCAGACGAAGTCAGTGGAGCTGGTGCAATGGAGGCGGTCGGGCCAGCAGCGCGAGCTGGGCACGCTCCCACATCAACTCCTTAACGGGACGTGCGTGGTTGCCTAGCCACGTAACCGCGAGCTGCCGCCGCCGGCCTGCGCCGAGCGGAGAACTCCCACCGGCCCAGGTCCAGACACCGCCAAACACAAGCGAAAAGAGAGAACAGGCACGGCACGATGCACGCTGAAACATTCCAGCGCAGGTTTGATAAAATAAGGAGGAAAGGGTTTCTGATGTCAGCAGCAGCGACCGCCCCGAAAGAACAGAGGCTTCCCAAAACAACAATATGGAGACGATCGATCCAACCAGGTGGTCGTCGTCGTCGTCCTCCTCGACAGGCCGACGGCCTCGTCGGTGTGCACGAGTAAACACTCACTGCTTCTCTGCGCCGCGCGGCCCGCGGCCACGGCCGCCCGGAAGGACGCGGCCCTGAGCGCCGTCCTCCTGGGCACGGCCAGCCTGGCGGGGGTCTTGGCCTGCTGCTGCCGCTGCTGCTGCTGCAGGTGGGGCGCGGCACACGTGCGCCCGTAGCCGGCCATGCCGACGCACTGCACTGCAGGCAGGAGGCGGCGCGGGGCCCGCGGCCCGGCTGAACCGCAGCGCCCCACCACCGCACCAGCGGCAGCGCCGTGGAGGCGCGCAGCCCACACAGCCAGCAGCAGCAGCGGCAGCAGCAGCCGTCCTTGTCCAAGGACCTCCCCGTCCGTCCCCTCCCCGTCCGGGGCAAGGCCGCGGCCGAGCGCCGTGGAGGTAGGCACCCCGTTGCGCCCGCCTGCTCGGCGGGCTGGCCGCGCTGCGGACGGCAGGCGGAGACCGCCGAGCGAGCGGCCGACCCCGGCCGGCTGGGAGCGCCGCCGGTCAGCTGGGGGGAGGGAGAACTCCGAAGGAGTCAGCTGAGACGGAGCGAGAGCAAGAGGAGTCAGCCAGCTGAGAGGTGGGGAGAGCAAGAGGAGACAGCTGAGAGAAAGAGAGGAGACAGCTGAGAGGAAGGGAGAGAAAGAGAGGAGACCGCTGAGAGGAGGGGAGAGAAAGAGAGGAGACCGCTGAGAGGAGGAAAGCTAACAACTGCAGTGCAGGAGAAGCCGTTCAAGATAGATTTGTTTTAAAATACAAAGCCCATAAATTTTCTTGAAAATGTCATTAAAAATAACGACAGAAGCATAATATATAACATTCCTGCTAATAATAAAATCAGCGACGCCGGGCTCTTTCCGCGCGCTCTTGTTCCTCCGAGAGGAGAAGAAGGGGGGGGGGGGGGTACCACCGCATTCCAGTCAGCCGTGGGAGAAATAAGAATAAGACGCCCATAAGAAAAAAATTATCGCGCGTCTCTCTAATTCTTCTTCTTTTTTTCCCCCATTTTCCCCGCAATGCCCCTGGCGGCTGCTGCTGCTGCTCCATTATGCAAATGGCATTGTCTGGAGTGTGCTGATGACGCTGAAGCTGCTGCTGCTCCTGCTGCTCCTGCTGCAGCAGCCACAGCCATGGTGTTCGACGGACGGGGCGCCGGCCCCGCGGCCGCTAATGTCCCGAGGAGTGATGTTGTGTGCATTCCATACCGCCGGCGGAGAGGAGAACAATACGGTGGTGCGCCTGTACAGCCAGCCGGTTAGGGAAGACACGCACCGAGACTCGAGGGGGGGGGGGGGCCTCGGCGAGCAAGCCAGTGCCCGCCCCGACAATATGGACTCGTACTTACATCTACCGTACCCATATATGTACGGCGGCCGAACCGCACTGACCAAACACTTTGGGGCAGAAGCGGCAGCAATCATGTTGTTGTTGTTGTGGTTTTGCAAGTGCTTCCCAAACGCCGGAGCTAAAGCGGCACGGGTTGGTTCTAAATATTGTGGCTTGGCGAAAATTTTGGCTTTGATTGCG